CCCCACGCTCTTGAGCCAGGTTTGGAGCCGCGATCGGAGCCGGCAGCCCCCTGGCCTGGAGGACAGCCGCCGAAACGGGGTGACGGTACCCCCCAGCCTGCAGCCCGATGCCTGCGCAGCAATGCGGGCAGCCCCCAGCTTTTGCCAGAGCGAATCACGTTGCCTTAGCGCTGGGCGGGTCTGTGGAGACAACCTGCTTGTGCACCGATAGGGAAACTGAGGCCCCGGAAAGCGTAGGGCCGCGTTTGAAGCCACAGCACCCTTCACTAGAAGGAAGACAAAGCCTAGGTCTGACTGCCCCAGAGGCTTGAGTTCCTGCACCGGCGCTGCAAGGCCAGAGAAGGGGGGATACCATAGTTCGTAGGTGGAGAAATCAGGGAAGGCTCCTCGGAAGGGGTGCGTTTTTATCTTTAATTTGAAGATGCATTGATTCATATTCTGTTAAGTTTGGCAACCTCTCTCTCTCAAGTCTCCCTTCAATCCCCTAAACCCCTTCAAGAAAAAACCAAACCAAAACAACAAAACCCCAATAACCTCTTTTACCATGGCCCACAATGCCTTGAAGTAGCCAGGCTTCTGCCGGCTTCCTCAGGCCCACTAGCCCTCTCTGAGTTCACGAACCATCTCACAATGGGCCTCAAGGCTCCGGGGGGAGCTGTCCCCTGCCCCATGGCCATTCACCTAATAACCTTATCTTCAGGGCATCCTCCCCCACTGCCCCTCAGACTCTCAACCCATTCCCTCTTCCCACATCCCCACCATCATGGGTTTTCTTAGCTCTGAAACCTTCCTTTAAAGCACTGGTCCCTGTTGCCATTTGACATTGTTTCAGTGAAAATTTGATCTACATATCCCTCCTTACTAGACTCCAAGACCCACGGAAGCAGGACTCGAATCTGCTTTTCCACCTGCCATGACTCCAGTGCCTCACACATAGTAGGTCGTTCAAAAATAATGTGTTAATGAAAAGCCAGGATGTTTTTAATTCCCACCCCTCACCCCCATTACCACCACCACACATTGTATAGATAAGAAAACTGCCCAGAGTCAAAAGTGCACATAGATTGAGCACCTGAGCCAGAAACTGAACTCAGGCTTCCTGACTCCTGCTTTGAACTCTCATCATGATGATGGTGATGCCTGTTTGCCAGGCAGGAGATGAGGGCATAGGCAGGATAATGGCACGAAGGCGGGAAGATTTAGACCTGTTTCATTGGGCATGCCTGCCTCCTGCTCTTCCCCCACCTGCACCCACAAGGGCTGCCCCACCCTGCCCTAGCACCGACTCCCTTGCAGCCAGAAGAAGAAACAGGGAGAGTCCCAGTACACCTGCTCAGACTTGAACACCAGAGCAAGAGCTTCCTTCTCAGGCCTGAACTTCCCAGAACCACGGAGTGTGCTTTCCCTCTTCGGGCTTTAGGCCAACACACTTTTAAGGAACAGTTAATTACAACAGAGAGTTCACATCTAGCCTTGGAGCACTAGCCTGGGAGTCAGGAGTCCTGAGGGCTGGACCAGCCCTGCCATATCTTGTTCCAGTCTTGGGCAACTCAGAAAGTTAAGCACATGGGCCCTCTAGTCAGACTGCTGAGTTTTGAACCCCCACACTTAGGCACTTAGTTTCAGGCCTCAGTTTCCTCACCTACACAAATGGGGATCATAAAATTGCTTACTTCGTAGAGCTGTTAAGATAAATGAGGAGATAATACATGTAAAGTGCTTGGCATGGTGCCTGACCTCATGGGAGATACGCAAAACTCTCTGGCCCTCTGTTTCCTCATCTGTAAAAATGGCAATATCCCTTGAAGGCACTGGTGGGTGATACTTTCCTCTCCCCCAGCACTTACGGGCTGTTGGCTATCTTGGTCTCCAATAGATCTAGATTTGAACCCTGGTGCTCACTAGCTACGTGCCTTTGGTTACTTACTGAACCTCCCTGAGCCTCTGTTTCCTCCAAGCAGGAATCTTGGGAGATTTGCATGCAACAATGCATGTAAAATAAATTGCTTGACTCCGCGCCTGGCAGAGTGGAAATGCTCATCCTCACTATGTCACCATCACCAACATCATGACCATGAGCACTGGGACTTGAACTCTCTGAAAGCCCTGCTTTTCTGCTGTTGCCCACTGCCACCAGAATCAGAGCCCTGCAGGATAGTTTCCAGAGATGTCTCTGGGCGATCCAGCTTCGGCTTGTGCCCCTTATAGCCCAGAGGCTGGACTTGGAGGGTTCCCAAGGAGAGCCATCTCCAGCCGTGACCTTGCAGAGCTGCTAGACCAGATAGGGATTCCCAGGGAAGGCCTCAACAGTGCTCACCCAAAAGTGTTCGTCTTTAAAACTCCAGTGTTGATAGAAAAGCCAGAAATTGTCCAGCTTCAGGAACTTTCTCACTAATCACTGTATCCTCAGAATGGACTTCTGGCTAGCAAGAAACTCAGGTGAGAGCCACCTCACCTGGGATGTCTCGCTTCCTTTTCAAAATCATCTTATTCCAGAAATTCCTTCATTGAGGCCCCCCACAGCTTCAGCCTCATCACCCCCTCTAGTCCATGGAGGAGTTTGAGATTCTTCATTGAAATTAGAAGCTCTCAAGAAACCTAAGGTACTAGACGATCTTCTGCAATTTGCTTACCCTCTCATTTCATTTTACCTGTAAAATGAAAGAGTTGGGGTAAATGATCCTCTACTGAACCTTCCAGCCCAAAGATGTTGGCAGTTTATAGGTATCAACCAAAACTTGACAGTTGTTCTGTCCTGGGCATGTGCCAGACACCTGGGTGTATATCATCTCAGCTTGCTTTTGACAATCTTGAGTAATGAGTATTGCGATGTCCATTCTGTGACTGAGGAAACTAAAGCTTAAAAGGAGTTAAAGTGATGAGCCCAAGACCAAGTAGTTAAAGACACACTGAGATCTGAACTCAGGACTGTGCTCGGTCCAAGGCACAGTCCCTGGAAAGGGACTGAAAAAAGCCTCACACTAGCTAACCACTCCCAGGATTGGTGGCACATTTCTTATTTTATGACTTTCAAGTGAAGGACAATAATAATGCCAAACCTGGATTGCATGTGGCTCAACTCCTATCTTCCCTGCCTTTTTACTGGCCTCGCCTCTCCCGAGATTAGTGAAAGTTCGCCCTGCGCATATTC